ACATGTAGGTCGAGTATTTCCTGGAATTAATTTTGTCCAAGGCTATTGTGGAGGCTTGTTATCAATAGAAAAAGTAGGCAGGGCAAATAGTAATAATGGTTATTAAACCAAAGATGTCTGCTATGCTGCAACCAGCTCCTGATATAGTGACACTCACACAGCTCTGAGCTCACAGGCTCCTGTCATTGTCTTTACATTAGGCAGTTCAGTCATAGGTAAGTAGATATTACCCTTTAGTTGCATAGTGTTTGTCATTGCATAATGATTCTACTTAGTTTAATAAAACTTCCTGACATTGGGATTTATAATTAGGTTACTGTATAAATACTGCATCGTACCATTGGCACTTTCATTTTGTGGTGATGCAAATAATAGTAATGTACATGTAGGTGATTGTTTAATTGTATTCATGAAGTAATTACATTAATTTTTGAATCATCAAACCCATTGCGGCATGAATTGCCATGCTTAATACAGAGCAGGGTCTATCTACATGCAGAAACCCTAATGACTTTTTATGAAATCCCTGGCAAACATCTTATTGTTTTGACCCCAGTACAATAATTGTGATATTGCTTGGGTCTGATACAGTGTAACTGTACCTGTATGAATTTCAACACCCCTCCGTATATAGTCGCCACTCAGCTAAATATTTTGATCCCCGTCGGCACTGCAATAATCATTGTTGTTGCAGTAAAATATGCCCGAGTATCCACATCCATCCCCACTGTGAACATGTGATGCGCCCACACAATAAACCCTAATTGCCTATAATCTCGTACCTGTATAAAGGGAATTTTTAGCAGAGAAAATATATTTAGGCCTTGCCAATTAATGTTCATTGAGTAGCAAAACTTGAAAAATGTAAGTTTGTTTTTACAATTTTGTGTTATTACAATTGTATTCCCAAAGTGCCTTGTCTATGGTAGTAATTATAATTGTAAACAAGATGAATTTTTTTGCGTGTACATGAATTGTCTCAGGCTTGATATACAATACACGTATGTCCTTGAGGTTCCACAGTTAACAATTATGTAGTCTAAACAGGGTTTCCCACAAAGTATGCTAAGTAAGCTGAACAGCATGAGCTTTGTGAGCCGACTAGCACCACAGCGCAGTACATGAAATTTGCAATAAATTTAAAAATTTATTTAAAAAATTAATTTTGAATGGAATCAGCTTGAAATTTCTATGCAACATAAGTACATGTATGTGTATCAGAAAACATTATAAAATTGATAAAATTCCCTCTTTTGTATTTTTGATGAAATTTGGTGAATGTTGTACATGTATGCATGTAATAGAGAAAATTGAAAGTACTGGACTCAAATTCCCCTTTGTACTATAATACTACAAAATGTTTCACTCAATTTTTGAGCAAATTTTAAAATTCATAAAAATCCAAATTTTATCTGAATTGGCTCAAATTTTCTATGCAACATAAGTACATGTATATGCATCAGAAAACATAATAAAATTGGAGAATTCTCTCCTTGTCATTTTTGATTAAATTTGATCAGTGTCCCTGTATATAGTACAGGGTGTTTGGCTCAATTTTTGAGCAACTTGACGATCCATTAATTGACAAGAAGCTGTATCAGCACTATGCCAAATCTTGTGAGGAACCCTGACTCTAAGTATTTGCAATGCTATATAGGTTTATATGATAAACAGTTCTTCTCTTTCCCAATGCATGTATGTTTTATTAATAGGTACTGCATATTTCTGTCTTCTCATGTTTGTGTTCCTTGACTCCTGTCCTTGTGTATCTTTGTCTCCTTTCTCTCCTTTGCCTTTCTCTCCTCCTCATATACACGTATGCATATGTCTAACTTTTGCTCTTTCTCATTCCTTTGCTAGGTCTCTCACATGTCTTCGTGTTAACACAGTTTTAGTATCAGTAAGCAACTGTAATTACCATACACCAGACCTGGGGTCAATTACAATTGTAATTGTAATTGAAGGGTCAATTACAATTACAATTACATAATTGTAATTGTAATTGAACTTCAGCTTATGTAATCGAAGTTTCAAATATATTTGAGTTACCTAACTACAGAATGTACAGATGCACAAAGAAATGTTCTTTATGTACTATGGTATCTTTGGGTGTTTTCGATACTGTAAAGTACCAAAATAACTTATGTTGTTACAATACATGTACATTAAATTGTAATTGTAATTGAAAATGTAATTGAAATTACACTATCATGGTGTAATGTAATTGTAATTGTAATTGAGTCTATTTTTATAAAAGGAGTGTAATTGAATGCATAATTGTAATTGAACTTTTGTAATTGACCCCAGGTCTGCCATACACATACATTAATGTATACAAACATCGTTGTTATTATTATTATTATTATTTTATAGTACATTGGTATATGACAGACATTGTCATTTGCTGCAATGTGGAAACAGGAATGTAAATAAAATGCTAAAGAAATTGTAACAGTAAGACACAATGCACACTATAGTGCTCTTGTGTACAGTGCATGTATTGAGACATGCACTGTACACAATATACTGTGAATTGTATATGTAGATGTCGTTTGATCATTTTTGATGTATAATGTACATCATGATGTCTTCCATGCTACATGTATTTTTGTATAGTAGAAAGTTTGAACTGATTCTGGCTTAAATTTTTTGAGTTATGAGAATTAAAAAAATAGGCCAAATTTTGACTATATTAATAGTCCATGGTTTTTTTGCAAAAAATGACTCCGAAATCATCCCCAGTTTTTATTACATTTTCTGATACATATTGATGTCCTTATGCTGTGTAGAAAGTTTGAAATGATTCAGGCTTAAATTTTTTGAGTTATGAGCATTTTAAAAAATTGGCCGAATTTTGAACAATACCCAAGGCTATATATAGTCCATGGTTTTTTTGCAACAAATGGCTCCAAAATCATCCCCAGTTTGTACTACATTTTCTGATACATATTGATGTCCTGATGCTGTGTAGAAAATTTGAACTGTTTCCGACAAATAATTTTCGAGTTATGAGCATTTTTAGAATTAGGCCAATTTTTGAAAATTACCCAAGGCTATAGCCCATGCTTTTTGTAAAAAATAGCTCTGAAATCACCCCTAATTTTTATTACATTTCCAGATACATATTGATGTCCTGATGCTATGAGCATTTTAAAAATAAGCCAATTTTTGGAAAATACCCAAGGCTATAGCCCATGCTTTTTTGTAAAAAAAGGCTCCAAAATCACCCCCAATTTTTATTACATTTTTTGATACATATATATTGATGTCCTAATGCTATGTAGAAAGTTTGAACTGTTTCTCCCAAATAATTTTAAAGTTATGAGCATTTTAAAAAATTGGCCATTTTTTGAAAATTACATGTACCAAGGCTATTGCCCATGCTTGTTTCCAAAAAATGGCTCCAAAATCATGCCTATTTTTTATTACATTTTCTGATGCATAATTATTGATGTCCTCATACTATGTAGAATGCTTGAGCTAATTCGGACTAAAACTTTTTGAGTAAAAATAAGCCAATTTTAAAAAGCTATGATGATAACCTATGGTTCTTTCGATAAGTAGCTTAAAAGTCTCTTCCAAATTTCACTACTTTTTAATACATATTGTTGTCCTTTTGCTATTTGTACATGTAGAAAGTTTCCAACTACAGTATAGCGGGCTTCTTTTGTTGGCCAAATTTTCGTTTTCTAGGGGGAAATCCAACTTCATGGGTTTTATTTTCGTCCTTCTGATCTGCAAGAATTAAGCCACGCCCAACAACCCCACCCATAACACCCATGTGTGCATGTGTTAGTGCTAACTCGACGAAGATGAACTCTGGATTGAGCTCTCCCACAGCAAATTTTGTGGGTTTAATTTTTCTTTTTGGAGCTTGGAGAACGAAAGTTTGACCGAACAGAAGAAACCCGCTATACAGCAGAGTTGTTGTAATTATTTAGAGTCATTAATCATTATGATTACAATTATTTGATGATTGGCAATGTAATGATTGGAATTAGAATTAGCTTTAACAATTGACTAAATCAATTATTAGAATTAAAATTAGTTTGAATGATTTGTAATTAAATTAGTAATTTAATCTAATAACATTTAGTTAATGAAGGTTTTCAAAGTTTTTTAAGTAAGATGATAACAGTCAGTATGTCACATCACATGCATGAATGCAGAAAGTGAGAGGAGACTGTGACTATGCCTGATGTTTCACTGTTTACTCTTTAAGTTACTTTATTCATGGGCTCCTGGTACACGTACATGTACAGTAACTATACAATGATTACCTAATTAAACTACTTGTTGTTTCATTGATTACAATTAGAATTACCATTAGATAGCATAATTCTTTTAATCAGAA